GTCTTTTGGAGATAAGATATAGATAAAAGTCATCAAGTTTCCCCCTCTGATCTGTTTCAGTTCTTTGTAAGGTTTAAGGGATAGTAGGTTCTTTATTAGTCTATGCCCTGGAAACCATAAAAGTAGCTGCTTCACTATTTTTAGGGAAATTAATCTAGCCAGGATAATTACAGCAACCCGTACTGGAAATTGATGACTAATCAAAAGGACAGGAAATAGAAAATTTTATCTTCTTAAAGGTACAGCAGATAGACTCCACGTCAGGACAGTGAAGTTGGTCTTTACAAGTTCAATCAGGGGAGCCAAATTGGCCCGGAGGATTATCAACATCGTGTGCGAGCCTCAGGCTTTGTCACCTGGGCTCTACGCCTGAGTCTTGCATGTGGAGCTGTAAAACGATAAATGAGAGAGAAATCAGTCTGCTACGGCAGATCCAATGGGGCTTGTGGGAAAGGGACAGAGAATGAAACCCTTCAGGGAGCCTGTCACACTGGCAACACTGCTCCGTCCGGAGGCAGCACCACAGGGGCCGTCACAGGCCGCCCTGCAGTGTGCCAACAACGCTGCGCTTCAAGCCCAAAGGACTAGATCTGGGCCTGACTGCATGTCCGGGGGCTGTTCCCCTGTCCATGCAGCGAGCACAATGACTGTTGAAAAGAGTAAATACGATACCCTGTAAGAAACCACCGTGAAAAGTCCAGAGTGATCTGTATGCAGGGAAGGCACCTACCCCATCTTCATTCCATGACACACTGGTGGCATCTCCCTCCTGGGAGTCCTGTTTTGAGCTGTCGTTTTTGTCACCTTTTTAAATCGCATTCAGGTCCTCCGGGCCCCACGGATGGGCATGGAATCCCCCACCTCCACAATGCAGGCACAGGCTCCCGAAACAATTTCAGGAAAACTGTAAGCCACGCGCAAGTGGGAAACTTTTCTGCTTTCTCAGAGCATATTGTATATTATGATAAAATACTGGTTATATACTTGAAATAAAGAAAACACTATAAAATTAACCAAAGTGAAGTTCCTCATAAATGTCTCTTTTGTAATATAGTGTGTAAGTACATGCATATACAATGTAGCTCTTTTTATAAAGCATATAGGCAAGGAATACAACATAAGAAACATAAATTTTACTGGCAGGAAAGGTCTGGGAGGTGCAAATTCTTCTAAGACTAACATTAGCTGTAAAAAAAAAAAAAATTGTAGCTTTTCAGTGCAATTCAATATTTTCTTTCATCAGAGGCTCAGAGCGGCAGCCCACAAGTTAAGAGGAATGTAATAAGCTGACTGTGTGTGTTACAATTGAAGCTCCTTTTGCAACCAGGATCCTGGGAGATGGAGCAAAGAGGTGGCCATGGATTTGAGCTAAAATGGGAATTCCTGCACTTCTGCTCAGAACGCTAGTGTCCTGGCTGGGAGAGCCGCATTCCTTCTGCAGTTGCAGCAGCAACCTAAGGCTAAGCACCAGTGAGCAGCTGCGGAAGACAGGCGCAGAGACGCGGGCCTGCGTGATGGTGCCGGGCCTCCCTCCACCTCTGAGTCCACCCGGAACCGTTCCACACCACTCTGCCTTGCTGGAACCTCCAAGCTGAAGTCATTAGGTACCAATTCTCTATTTTCCAAGAGAAGTGGGAAGATCTGTACACAGGGTGACCACCTGAGAAGCTGGTACTTTTTAAACTAAAAATAAAGGGGGAGGGGAGCAGAGAAATAATTCATTTATTTAACCCAGAAATGGTTATAATCTAAAACCCTGCAAACCCATTACACAACAACTGTTCTGGCAAACGCCGCTATGTTCCAACAAATATTAAACTGTGCTTGCCATTTGTCTAAGGAATCTTGCATTAATAAACATGAAGAAGAACACTTTTACCTCCCACTCTCAATGACAGGACCAAACAAAGACCAGCTGTATTCATCAATGGGTCCTTGTTCTGCACATAAAGGCTAATTACATTTTGCTTCAAGCCTACACATGGAAAACTTTACTGCTGTGATGGCCGTCACAGTCAGCCCGCGCTGGCCCAGCTGACGCAGGGTGATGACTGTACGCAATAAACAGGGGTCTTGGAATAGCCCTGGTGCCTTTGACCTGCAGGCTTTTTTACAAAATAGGGGTAAGGGACGGTCACACCAGTGACATCTTCCAGCGACACAGAGGCAGAGGCAACCCATGCTCTTTAAATCTCATGGGCAAGAGGATGCCAGCAAGGTCAGTGTTCTCCAAGGTCTGCTAATTTCAGAAAAGCTCCCCAAGCCCTCCGGCAAGATTGCTAGGAATAGCTTCTACTGCTGATGGCGCTAGAGGCCGCACACAAATCTCATAATTCGTCACAACCACCCCATGCCTTGCCTACTATTATACCCATTGCACAGGTGAGAAAAGAGAGATGTAGAGGTCAGTGAGCTTGTCCAGGGTCACACAGGGACAGTGAGTAGTGGCCCTGTGTGAACCACTCCCAGACCATGTTCTCCAAAGCCACATTCCCCTATGCTTCCCCCACCCGCTTCCTACATTTTCTGTCAACAAACACATAAGAACCCTTCCTTTCCAAGAGATACAATGAATTGTTCTGAAATGTTTTAAGACCATTTGTGAAAGATTTGCCCCTGGAGGGCTTATATTCACATGTATTAACGAAAAGCTGTCTAATCTAATATAATATACATAGGCTGGGGCTGAAGCAGATGGTGGAGTGACAAACCTCTCCCAGAAAATAGAAGAGGAGAGGAATGCGGAGGGGGAAGCTTCACGTGGTATCTCCAAGACTGAAGCAATTGCCTCCGAAGTTAAAAGAAAGTAGCAATTATTATCTCAGTCCATTCTCTACATTTTTTGTGGATTACTTACTCTGGGAACCATTTACAGTAAGTGCTTGGCCCCAGGCTGCCTTTTGTTAGTAGCTGTCCATCTCTGATTTGGGAGATGCGGGGTCCCTGTGTGAGCCCAAGTCCAGCGCTCAGCACCCATCATGCCCACACTGACTGCAGAGAAGCCATTTGGGACTTCGGGACGGTCCTCCCAAGAGCAACCTTGCTGGTCGTTTTCACAAACTGCCTCCTTTGGCCCCCAGGAGCTCCTCATCCTGACTCGTCTTCCAACCTCAGATCACATGTCACTCCCTCCAGGAAGGCTTCCTTGACAATTCTTTCCTTTCGCTCTAGCTGGACCTGTGCTGAGGACACTTGCCATTCTCATTTCCAGTTCCCTCTCCCCGATCTCTCAGGGGCTGCCCTCTGGCTTCTAAGTTTGCCACGAGGATTCCTGGCAGGGAAAGAGAGGTGGGTACGACCACGGAGTGTTGGTATCACCCCAGATTTCTCAACCCTCCCAGAGGCCACCAGTTGCTCTCAAGGTGGTCCCTTCAAACCTGGGCATGGCGGATTCCAGCCAGTGCTCACTACGGATGATGCATTCTGTGTCCCGCCCCCTTCCTGGCACATGCCACAGTGAACAGTCCAGTTGTTAAACTCTGATTACCCTAGTTGGAGTGTGCTGCCTGTCTTCTGCAGAGACCATGACTGGCACAGGTGCCCATCATAATTAATGTTCTTTCTATCACAGCAGTGACCACACTGGATCGAAATGGCTTTTCTCTCTCTTGAGCCATTTATCCCAGGCTTTCCAGAGCCCAGCACTGGTCTAGGCACAGAGGAGGCCTCCAGGAATGTCTGCTGGACTAATGAGTGGACCTGCTACTTTTGAGTCACGCATATTGTGTTTCTGTCCCCCCAGCATTTACCTGGCCTGTAGTGAGGCCAGAAGAGGATGGGCACAGGGGCTACAACATCCCTTCTCTGATTCTGTCTCCCAGTCACTTCCCAACCACCTTGTTCCCTGCCCAGGGAAGATGAAAACCTTAGAGCAGAGGGAAATTTAAGTCCTTACTGGATGACTGTTCTCTGTTTCTTCCTCAGTCCCTAAAACAAACCAATCGGACGGACACAAATTTTCCATGCAGCCTTTTGGAAGCCCAATAAGGAAAAAAAGAGATTATTCTAAACCAGAGACAGTATTCCTGCATGCCTTCTACCGGGAATTGAGCCTCAACCACCCGCATGTGCCCTGACTGGGACTCAAACCGGCAGCCTTTCAGTGCATGGATGACTAACTGAGCCACACCAGCCAAGTCTGGAAGTTGAACTTTTCTAACGCTCTCAAAGCAATGTTTTTCAAAATGGTTTATGACCAAGATCCACAGGAATGAATAACTGTGTTTTATTTAGCAAGAGTCCCCCTGCCCCCTGCCACCTTCCCCAGCCCACTAGGGCCTGTGTGAGTGAGCACAGCAGAACTTCCTTCCTGGAACAGGCCGCCTGGGAGACACAGCCAGAGGCTCCCACAGTAGGAAAAGGTGGTTTCAACTCTAGCCTGACACTGCCTGTCTGGACTTCAAGTACAGGAGGCCATGGCTAGGAACAATCTGTGACTTCTTACCTTTCTTGATTTATGTCTATCTTATTTCTTCTTTTCTGGGGTTTTGCATGGAGTGTGGGCTACCAAGAAGTGATCCTATGGCAGACACTGATTTCCTTCTCACAGAGCCTTGTGTGATGTACATGCCCAAATATACACATTCACTATGTATGTGTCTGCAAAGGGATACCCAGTGTTGTAAGGTGTGACTTGAACAAATAAACCTGTGTGGGAATGAAGGATTCTGGCAAAGGTAAAAGGTGATGTGTTTTGTCCCAAAATTTCTGAGAAAAAGGCACAGTGTTAACCAGGCTTCACAAAAATCAAGGAAAAAAGTTCCAGGTGGTAGGATTGTTCTGCGAGCACCAGAGCTTGGGTATTAAACTGACACAAGCAACTCATGGGAATAACACTGCATTCCTTACAGCAGTTCCAGAGGCCAAGCACCTACTACACCCTGAACCACTCTGCAAAGCCAACAGACAGAAGGGAGGAGAGGGGAAAGCCTTCATGGATTGGCAAAGTCAGGTGAGACCTGACCAAACGAGCAGATGGAGGAAGCCAGGCAGAGACTTACTTGGCAGTAATTTCTTCATCGTATTTGGTTTTCAGGTCAAATAATTCTGTTCGAGTTTTTTCCAGGGCTGAAAGGAAGAGACGTAAAACCAAAACATAAGACACTAATTGTTTAAGTTTAAAAAGGAACAGTATACAAGTAACAGATTCTCATTTCAAAAGAGTAAAAAATTACAAAAGTATTTAGAATGGAATAGAAAATCGCCTTTTACTTCCGTCTCATCTCATCCCATCACCTCCTAAGAGATCAGATTTCCTCCTTTGAAATATATTTTGTTGTTTAAAAGTATTTCCACTTATCATTGTATATCAAGCACGTCAAACTCACGGACCGTGGGCCACACGCCTCATTTATTTAGCCCGTGTTGGACATGCTTGTTGTACATGTATCTATCTATTTTTCATCCCCCATAAATAGAATGATACAAGTACTTCCTGAGACTTGCCTTAATCTAAACAATTAGCTTGGGTAGCATGCCTAGAAATGAGGGGTTGGGGTAAGGGGCTTTGACGTTCCAAACTGCAGATCAATGCCCCAGCTGGCCTCCCAACAGGCAAATTACATTTCCACTAATACTCTGAGTACGACTATTTTCCTATAGCTCACCACCACCGAAGACTATCAATTAAAAATCTGTTTGACAGTCTGCTAGGCAAAATAATCATTCACTGATTTAATTAGCATATCCCAGACTATTAAAAATTATTAACATGTTTTCATGTGTATCGGCTATGTGTATTTATTCTGCAAATTGCCTGTTCACATTCTTACCCCACTGTTCTACTGAATGTTTATCTACTTTTATGATTTGTAGGTAGTCTTTATATATTTTGAGTTTTATTCATTGTCTGCTAAGTTTATTGTGATTATTTCCCCATTTAAATTAAACATATAGTGCTGTTTCCCACAGAATAAAAAAAAAAAGTAATGAAAGATTTATCATAACCTCTTTTGCTATCTTTTACATTTTAAAGGTCTGTTATTTCTGTTCTCCTTTACTTCACTGGGGTAGAAATAAGTTTTTCTTTTCCTAATATTGTTCCAAATGAAATGTCAGTCCTTGACAGGTTGGTGATTTAGATGAGTATGTTGGAAAAAGAGCAGCGAGAAAGAATGGCTTGCGGAAAGGATGAAAATGTAATTCAGATCCTCCCACCTCGACATTAACAACTCAGAGTGGGTGACTAATAGAAGTCAAGGTGGAGAAGCTGGGGCTCCACGTGGCATTCTAGAGCGTGGGCTCCCTTCCTCCTCCAGGCTCCCCACGGCAGGGCCACAGACAGCAGAGGGGCCGGGAGAGACCGGAGACCCACCAGACTCCCCCATGTCAGTCTTCCCTGCATCAACTTGACAAGCATGAAGAATAGCACACCTGTTTGCAGAGTCTGAACTTTATGTTCCGCTTCTTCCAGCTTCGAGGTGGTGGACATCTGTGTCTCTTGCAGCTTTCTGAAAAGGAAGAGAAGAAAGCCAAATTGGTCATCTTTTTACTAACATAAACACCTGGCGGGTTTTGGGGCGAAGATGATCAGCTATTTTCACCGTAACACATACAGCCAATGACAGGCACATGATCAGGTATCACTTGTCATGCCATGAGCAGTGAGGAGCTCATTTACTGATGATTTTCTACTACCCAACTTTATACCCACATGTTACATAAAATGAAGTGTGCGCATTTTGTGGGACTTGATGGGTGGTAACTAATGTAGGTTATCCTAAATGTAATTGGTTCTGAAATGCCAGATATTAAAAAAAATCATCATCATGCACTCATTGTTTTCTGAAGTTAGCCCAAGAAGAATGATACATCTACATTTTGCTGACACAATGAAGGAATTTGTTGGAATAAAGGATGTACTAAATAGATGTGACAGCTGTTCCATTTTTGTTATAATGGAATGCGAATGCAACTGCAATACCTAATGGGAAATACTGAATGTTTTAAACTACATTCCACATATTTACATTTCCCATGATCTCCAAACGAATTCCCTGGTCAATAAATAACATTCCTTCCTCCTAATCTGCAGAAAATTCTCCAAAAATAAGTTTATTATTTTTATATCATATGAATATAACACATGCTCTCATAATAATAAATCTGGGAATACAGAAAAGTAGAAATGACAGTTTTAAAAAAGCACCCAAATTTCCATCACCTATGGAAATAGATTGCTCATATTTTCACATACTTCAATTATAAAACTAACATATGCCCTAAGTTAAAAACAAACAAAAAAAACAAAACATGAATATTAAGAGCATGGAAGATAAAATGCCCTTTCCCTTCCTCAGTTCTATTTCTTCCTCATATAGAGTTCTTTCACAGTCTTCTAAAATTTTTCTGTTTACAGAAATATAATATACAATATACTCTAAAGTAATATATACTGATGTAATTTACTATAGTATAATGTAAACTCATATGCAATATACTGCAGTGTAATATATACTCATATGTAATATACCATAGTGTAATATACTGTTATATACTGTAGTGTGATATACACTCATATCTAATATTTTGAAATATAAACTCGTATGTAATATACTATAGTTTGATATGCACTCACATGTAGTTTACTGCAGTGTATATTACATACACTGCCTGCCCCTTCTTTTAGGACAAAAGGGATGACAGCACACAGGGTATTCTGAAGCTTGCTTTTTTACTTATCTCCATACTTTGGAGATACTCTACTCCAACATATATAGTTCTTCTTGGTGCTTACTAAGTAATTGATGTAAGCAAGTCCCTAAAAACATTTATATTGTTTATCTTTTATTTCCCACCAAATAACTCTGCAGTGATCATCAGGTAGATTTATTGCATAATTCTGAGAGGGCAACTATTAGATAATAATGATCAAAACATATGTGCAAATTTGTGTTTGGTTTAGATAGATGTCAAGAAACTTCCCAACAAAACAAACCTCACCAAGTAAACTCCCTTCAGTAGTCTGTGAGAGTCTGTTTCCTTATGCCAACACCAAATAAAGCAAATGTAATTTTACTGCTGAGGAAAGCTGAGCATTTGTTTGTATGAACTGCCTGCTTATCGCCTTTGCCCATTTTTTGTGGTGCTGCTTTTTTCTTATGAATTCTTTGTATATAAAGAAAGTACATAAGTCCTTTTCCTTATGTGGTGCTAATACCTCTTCCCAGTCTCCTGATGCTTGAAAAATGCTGTCTATTGGTATTTGTTTTTAAAAAGGTTTTAAATTTTAAGTAATGAAAATGGACTGCTCATTTTCACATACTTCTCAATTTTCCTTTTATGCTTACAGAGATCTCCCCACTCCAAAATTATTAAAAACAAAATATTTGCCCAAGCTTTCTTTCAATATGCAAATGATTTAATCATTATTACTTAAATCCTAGATCTGTTTCAATTTTTTTCATGTAAAGAATGAGGTAAAGATCTAGCTTTGTACTCCACCCTCAGTGGTCAGTCAGTTATTCACATCTTTTAATAGAATAAATTCTTTTCCCTAATTTGAAAAGTCAACGTAAAAAGATTAAATTGCCATATTCAGTTTATTTCCATACTTTTGTAATATATGTTTGCTTAGGCAGATGGGCTCACACTGTCCATAATATTTTATTATGCATTTTTCACTTTATATTATGCTGGATATATTTCTGTTATTACAAACTCTATGTAACTATTATTTTAATAGCTGCATGATGTTCCAGTTAGGGATGGCCAATCTTTTACTGACCCACTTCTCATTTGCTTACACCCGCCTCCCCCCATTAGCAATAACATGGGTAAAAAGTGCTTTGCTAGGAGGTATTAAGAGTCCACTCATCTCTGAGAGCCCAACTTCTCTGGGGCCGCACAAAGTCCCGATCTCCCAGCAGTGTGGGTGCAGCATCCTTGTGTCGAGTTGGGCTTGGCCTTGGCCCTGAAGTGGGGATTTTGAAGCCAGTCAGAGCACAGGGAGGTCAGGCCTGCAGTGTGGGTCAGGCCCTGGTCCCACCCTGGCTGACTAGGTGGGAGAGCAGCTAAGCTGAGGCCTAGTGTCTCCATCTGTAAAATGAGATGCCCACTTTGCAGGTCTGTTCTGGACTCAGCATTATGCTCCAAGAGGGCCTGGTGGGTGCAGAGCATGCACTAGGGGAGTAGAGTGGGCACTGTTCTTCTTTCCTAAGCGAAGCCAGCTTAACAGTACTCCCGAGTCCTCAGTGATACCCATCTTCACTGAGCCCACCATATGAAAGTGCAAGAACTTGCGCGCAAAGTTAACCGGACACAACATTAGGCCAGGATTCTCACTTGAAACCACACATTTACTCCCTCTTATTAATAGATTCACTCATTTCATGATAGTTTTAAAACAGAAAATCTATATTTCACCAGAGTTCTAAAACTCCAACTTATGTCCTATTACATTTAAAATAAAAATAAAAATAAAATATATATATATGTATGTGTGTGTATGTATATATATATATATATATATATATATATATATATATACACACACACACATAATTGATTTTTTACAGAGAGGAAGAGAGAGGGATAGAGAGTTAGAAATATCGATGAGAGAGAATCATCGATTAGAGAGAATCATCGATCATCTGCCTCTTGCACACTCCCCACTGGGGATGTGCCTGCAACCAAGGTACATGCCCTTGACTGGAATCGAACCTGGGACCTTTCAGTTTGCAGGCCAAAGCTCTATCCACTGAGCCAAACCAGTTTCGGTCCATTACAGTTTTTATTAGAAATCTAACTTTCATTAAATCATCACAATAATGACAACCAGCTCACTATTGGTAGAAATGTTTTGGGTGGAGTAGGTGATCGAGATCTAAAACTCACAGCCTTTGGATAGTTCACGCACATATTTTACTGACATCAGCTCCTTGATCTACGAAACACTATGAGGTAATGAAAATATGTAGAGTCGCCAATCACACACAGTTCATGCATGGCCTGGACAGACACACTGACTGAGATGGTCCCCCAGTGGGAAAAGACTGATACATGTCACTCAAGGTAGTCTCACCCATTACAGAATAAGGGACACCTTTAGTTTTCAAATAATTTTCCCTAGAGACCCTAGGATTTTGTTTACCCCTGGGCATATTTCACAGGTACATTTTAAAAACTGTCTTGTCATGTGAAGTTTATATTTTATTTTATTTTATTGATTTTTTACAGAGAGGAAGGGAGAGAGAAAGAGAGCTAGAAACGTCGATGAGAGAGTAACATCCACCAGCTGCCTCTTGCACACCCTCTACTGGGGATGTGCCCGCAACCAAGGTACATGCCCTTGACCGGAATCGAACCTGGGACCTTTCAGTCCGCAGACCGACGCTCTACCACTGAGCCAAACCGGTTTCGGCTTGTCATGTTAAGTTTAGATGTAAAACATTATGTCAGTACCTGCAAACCCCAACACATGCTCACCTCTCCTTTTCTGCAAAATCATTTTGTAACTTTTGTTCCTTTTCGAGAGCTATAGTCTCAGCTTGGTTCTTCAGAGTCTGTTCATATTCTCGGATTTTCTCTTTAAGTGCTTTTATCGTAACCTCTGTAGAAAGAAAGAAAGAAAGAAAGAAAAAAACTACAGTAAGAGAAGCACAGTTCCATGTGGCTATATATACAGGCATTCGTAACCGAGTAGGATCGGTGTGTTTTAAACTTTAGCTCTTCAACTCTGACACAAAATCAATGGTTATGAGTCCCTTCAGAGACCTTTTACTCCCTAAATGTTAAATTGAACTTTAAACGTTTAGGTTGAGGAGGATCAATGGATTTTGCTGGGAAGAAGAGCTATGGTTTCTCTAATACAACTTAAAAAAAAGGAGGGGGGAATCAATGGTAAAATATAACTTCTTATTGATGAGTCTTAAATTAGTCCTCTACTGAGGAAAATTAATAATGTTTTAGTGTGGGTTTTAGTACTTTCTTACAAAGAAAACAGTTCATAATTGTGTGCACATTTGGAAGATGTCGTCTTAGCTGAAGTCACTATGTCTGCAGGCCTGCCTGGCTGTGGGCACTCTTTTGCCATGTCACAGTAATGAAACATGGAGTGTGCTAAGTAGATACAACATGCATCTCCTTGGCTGGAAAGAACCCACCTTGCCGCTTGGGTGGCACCCTCCACTGAGGCCAGAGTCTGACAGCCTACGGCTGTGTGTGAAGAGCAGACAAACAGGGCCTGGGGGAGCTGCACTGAGGGATGGTAAGGATCAAGGGTGTGGGTAGTGGTGCTGGGCAAAGACGGAGCCCTGAAGTGCCAGGCTCAGGACATAGGCTCCCTGGGAGGGCAGGCTAGCCCTGGAAAGCTCAGGCCAGGGATGCCCTGAGGGATTCACCCACCAGGGATGCCATGTTTACAGCTGTCACTTCATTTTTAATATATTTTATTGATTTTTTTAGAGAGGAGGAGAGAGGGGTAGAGAGCTAGACACGTCGATGAGAGAGAAACATTGGCCAGCTGCCTCTTGCACACCCCCTACTGGGGATGTGCCCACAACCAATGTATATGCCCTTGATCGAAATCGAACCTGGGACCTTTCAGTCCACAGACCGACGCTCTACCACTGAGCCAAACCGGTTTCGGCTACAGCTGTCGCTTCAGTTACCCAAAATGGGAACGCCAAAGTAGATGTAATGAATGGGGCAGGGTCCTATCTCACAGTAGTGCTGGCTCTAGGGCAGGACTACTCCACATGCTCCCTCCCACAGATACCTCCTCCCTGTGTGCTGAGCAGTCCCTGGCAGAGCACTGTGGTCCCAACTCCAAGGAGAATGGGGCTCTTGCATGAACCTATCTCTTAGAAGGAAAGGCTGAGGCTCTTTGTAGCCCCAGCACCTGGCACAGGTGGGTGCTCTGGAAATGGCTGAGTCATAATGAACGAAGGAGCTGAGCCTGGGCCGACAGGGTGAGGCCCAGACAGGGCTTGTGACATGGGGCTCCAGGCTCATGGGACAATGCCAACTGCCAGGTCTTTGCCCAAGGAAGAGCTCGCTTGGTGGCCCCTTTCCTTCAGGCGGTAACTCATGTCCCCCTTTACTGCCTGATCAGCACAGACATGCTGTATTTATGTGGCTTAGTAGGTAAAAGCTAAAGGCTCTTTAGTTAAGAGAAGAAATTGGCCGTTTTTATTAAGTGGAAGCCAGATGGTTCTCCTTAGAGGAAGAGAGAGGGAGTTAAACTGGGGATCCTGTCAGGGCATTTGAAAGAAGAACAGGGGGCTCTGCCTTTTGGACTGGCTATTCCGGGCCTGAAAGAAATCTCTGTGAGCACTGTGGTTAATGGTTCCCATTACTGTTAGGTCACACTGACAGGGCCAAAGTCACCTCTGAAAACACCTGCACATTCCGTAAGTCAAAGGTCCATGCAAACATATAGAATTCTTGCCTCTAACAATTGGTTGGAAATATCTGTTCAGCCCCTGGACCCCAGAGCTTATTCCAGGGGGCTTCTCAGTGTGGCACCTCTATGTTTCTTCCAGGGGACACTGGGGCATTGGATGGGGCTCCCACGCCGTCTAATGAGGTCTCTTTGCTATTCTCCAACCCCAGGTGGGCAGCTCACTGATCGGCTGAGCCTAAGTCCAGGGCTGACTTGTCCTTGAGCCTCTGACTCTGGTCCTCCTCCTGTATACAGGTCTGTTTCCAAAACATGCTCCTGTGAGCAGGTGAGGAAAGAGAATAGTGTGGCAGAAAGGGCACTGAAGTGTTCTGTTCTCATTGGCTATGGCTGGGGCCCCAACTTACTCGTCTTTAAATGCGGGGAAAAATTATAGCACATAATAAATTCCCATCCTGCTCTCACTTTTTACCAAAATACAATATGGTTGTGATGACTAAAACAAGTGACATGCACCCCAACCCTTCCAAATTAAAATGATTTTTATATTGGGAAGGAAAGAGGAACTTAACATTTTTCTGGAGGTTGGAAAATCTGTTGCTATATCAATAGATAAAGAAGAGGAGGGTTTCTAGAAAAACAACAATAGTGCTCCGTAAGAGCAGCTGATCTTTACTGAGAGTCAGGAACAGCGCTAAATGTCTCACCAGCATCTCATTTTATCTATAACAATCATACGCGGTGAGTGTGAGAATCTCCCAAGAAAATGAGGCTTATCACCCTTGTTCAAGGTCACACAGCTAAGTACGGCAATGAAGGGACTCAAACCTGACCTGTCCACCCCGGTGCCTTTGCCCTTAAGTCCTGACTCAATAATATACCATTTCATTACAAACACCCATCAGGGGGGCCTTTGGGGAGCAGGACATTTCACTCTAAGATGATGTCCTTGTTGGGCATGGAGGCACTGATGAAAGCAAGGCTGGGGGAGGGATACCAGCACCTCACCATCCTCCAACAAAACAGAATGAAAATAAACACCAAGAGTAAGATGCTAGAGGTCAATGGATGGGAAAAAACAAAGTTCATTCCTTTTGGGTAGGGCTACAGCAGAACCCAGGTGTGTGCATTTAGGGGTTATCTTTCTTTTCTTTTTAATTTTGACATTTGTATATACCCCTGAAACCATCATCAGAATCAAAATAATTAGCTTTTCCATCATCCCAACAGTGTTCTTGTACCCCTTTGTGAAGTTTCCATCCTTTCCCATCCCCTGCTAAATCTGCCTCCCTCCCTCCCTTCCCTCCTGCCCTCCCTCCTCCTTCTCCCTCTCCCTCTCCCTCTCCCTCTCTCTCTTTTTCTTTCTTTCTTTCCAGATTGTCTTTCACCTGAGCATTTGGTTCTGAAAAGAAACAACTCCTGCTGGGGAAAGGCAGCACCTTCTCCCACCCAGGTCCCAGCTAGTAAGTCCAACACCTCACTTCCCAGCAGGACAAAGCTGTCCCTGAGTTTAATGACTCACCGCTCCCCGTGGTACCAGATGTGGTGGTGTGTGTGTGTGTGTGTGGGTAATCTTAGCTGTCTCCCACCTCTAGTCCCCCAAGGAAGGGGACCCATGGGACTGCTGCTCACACTGCCCAGGCCTGTACCTTCTAGCTGCTCATCATAATTTTTGACTGGATCCTTTTCGTGGACAATCCCTTCTCGCAAGCCTGTCTTCAATGGGCTCAAAGCCCAAGGACACTTTAAAAAATCTTCATCAGTTAATTCTTTATCCAACTCTCGGAGAATATTAAACAGAAGGCCACTTGGAGGAGATCATCAAAGTGGTTTAACTTTCCTTTCCAGCTCCTGCTCAACTAAACCCCAGACAAAAGCCAAGAGACTGCATGTCTCCTTGGAGCTCCTGGAAAACCTGCAGCTCTCGTCAGACAGGGCTGTGCTTTTCCGTCAAGAAGAGGACGTCATAGGGCTCCCTGAATCTGAGCACATCTGGATTTTGGGTGGAGAAGCGATTTCTTTCTTCTTCCCTGACAGGAAAAGCCAGGCAATTTTTGCCCTTTTTGTCTTGTTGACGGCAGGGCAACCGCATCAAGAGGCCATTTTCTTTCATTGAATTCGTAATGAGTAGGTGATGCTGACAAGGAAACAGTAGTGCTTAAGCATGCAGACTTGTAGGATGCGGCTAAAGCCTTAATGTATCGGCAGCAATTATTAAATGACTTACTGTAGGTGACCCTTTGATCATAAGCTGGATCTGACAGGTGTTGCCCGCAGGCAATGCATCTTTCTTGTAAAAGGCAGATCCTATCACATGATGATACAGGAAGAATTTTAAAAGAATCCTGATCAGTCCCGTCACAGGGCAATAAAATCAGATGTAGTTACTGTGCAGAGGAAAAGTTTTACTTCCAAATAGCTAAGCATTATTATTATCTCTCTTTAACGATTATGGTTTTTACCCCACCCTGACTTTATGACGTGTATTACAATTAGAGCTAGTCCCAACAGGATGGGGAAGGCAATTTAAAAAAAAAAAAAGACAAGAAAGCGCCAAGCAAAGAGGCATCTTCCACCAACCTTGATTTTTTACTTCAGCAAATTCCTTGTTGTATTCCTCGAGTGTTTCCCTAAGTTTCTGGTTCTCTGTTTCAATGTCGTGCAGGCGCTGCACTTTGAGCTGGAGCTGCTGCCCGAGATCCAGGGCTGGCACGGGATCTGCACGAGAGGTGAACACACATCAGCCCACTCTGGACCCAGACGAGCCACCTTCATGGTCACACCGAGGCTCAGGCACACCTCCAGCCTGTGGCTGCTACCACCTGCCAGAAGTCGGGGCACATGGGACCTTGCCACCTCCTTCAGAGTCCCTGGGAGCACTACGGCTGGGTTAGGGCCACTTCTCTGCTGCTACAGAGGATGCGTGCATATACAGACTCACCCAGGGCCTCCAAAACAAATAGGGTGAAATGGCCACCGAATCACTGGGATATGCCCACTGCTTTGGCATAGTGTGACAGTGAACCTTTGAGCTGATAGGAAGAGAGACACATTGGCGGCAGCAAGCAGAGGCACCCTGGGAGATCATCCATGCACCTACAGCTGCATGGGAGGATCGATGGTGTGTGGGGAGGTACCTAAGCCACAAGTTTACAGTAATTCTCATGAAGTTGAAATAACACCTAATGCTCTGAGAGTGTCTCACTGTGACAGAGTGCTTTACAGACATTTTCTCCTTTGAGTCTCACAATAATACTGGAAAAGAAATGTAAGATGTGTATTAGTTCCTTTCACAGAAGTGGAAACTAAAGCTCAGGAACCTGAGTGACCTGTCAAGGTTTCCCGGCTAGTTAGTGGACAGAGAACTCAAACCCGAGACTGTTAAATCCAAGTGACTGTTGTTCCAACAAGGAAGATCCCCTGCTGGAGTGGAGTTAGTAAGCAGGACATGCTCACTTTCCGTCACAATCCTCCTTTGCTAACCAAGGACACTCACAAGAGTCAGGTGAGCTGGGGAGCCAGCCTGAGGTGACGGTGACCCGCCCTAGGCCATTGGGCCAGGTAGCCAGGAGACCACCACCCTCTAATTATAGTATAAACAGCAGGAGATGGCACCTGGGCCAGTTATGTGAGGTCTTGTGGCCAAGTCAATAAATTATCTGCCATCAGATTTACTTACAAAAAACTGTATTTTAATGTAAAATTAGATTGGAGACACAGAATTTATGTACTGATGGTTGGCACAAAATGGAGAGACATTAAACATTCTCCTGGCGTTCATTCTATCTTTATTTTTTCGTCATCTGCCTAAAAGGCACGCATAATCCACCTGCTGGCACCGGCGTAGCACTTCCTCTGGAATGCCTGCTCCATCAGAGGAGAATACCCAAGTCCGCTGGGCTCAGAAAAGATTATTGAAGATATTTCTGGTATGGACGCCAGCATCACTTGTGAAATGGCGGCAAGGATTTAGTCTCCGGTTGAGGAATGCTAAACACCGAGCACAGCAGATCAACAAGGGTATATATTCAAGAGCTCACTTAATTTTCAAATACCAGAGTCATTAATTTTTCAGACCACCCCTGGTTCCTGGAAATGAGGGCTAGATCCGCACGGTTCAGCCGCCGCGCCTGCCAGGAGCCAGGAGCTCTCGGAGATGCCAACGTCTTCCCAGAGTTTACAAAAGGCGGGCACTGGGATGTGTCCAGCACAACGGCGTGGGGTTTAACGCCAACGCTGTCCATCATGTGGAACCTCTGGCTGCCGGGCGTGTATTCTGTGTGTGTATACAGTTTATGACTACATCACTTTCTTATTTGTGGCTTTTCATTATGATTTTAGTCAGCATTAAAATATTTATATTGAATTAGATTTCAAAAGCTATTTAGGGAAGATAGTTCTTTATAAGTAGAAATAGTAACAACAGTAAAGACTGAATTACTCAGAACATTCCAGGTGTAGGTATTTTTTTTTTTAAATTTCAGTATTTTCCAGGGTATCACCCCACTGATACCCCCTTCCTCTATGACCTCACACTGGGCAAATGGCCTGAAGGAAACAAACTGTATGCCTTCACGGCCCCCTTCACATAGAACTACAATCTGAACTTGATACAGAGGTCAGGGAAGGACCGAGGAGGGAGAGCCGTTGCTCTGCATAAAATTCTATTAGTGTTCGTTCATGTAGGCTTTCCAGCACAACTGCCAGTACAAATTATATCTTTAGAGAGCTAAGCTAGTATACTGCAATCCATCCCTAAAATTTCTGTCGACAACTTTTCCAGTCCATTCCTAAAAAAAAATAATAAAATAAAATAAAAAATCCAGGACCACTGTGTCTGCTTTGAATAAAAAATAGCTTTCCTCATTTGACTCGGCAAGGAATTCAGTGACATATAAAAATAACATGCATATTATCAAGTGAATAGTAACTAGACCTTTAGAGAAATTTTCAAAGCATTATATTGTAAATGAAAATTCTGGCAATCTCATAATTATTCATTATGGCATGTATATTTAATTTAACACTATTAAAGGTTAATGCCTAAGTAGCAAAACTGGTCACAGAATAAAGAATGAACTGAATGTTCAAACATCTCTATGCATTCAACTTCAAACTTTACCACAGAACAGTCGAATGACTAAACGCCTGCAGCATTTGAATCTTGTTTTGGATTATGTAAAAGGCATTGCTAAAGTACCTCTTAGGCTTAATTTTTATTACCTGCATTAAAGGAACAGCTAATTACCACATGACAATATAATGACTGTAGCGTGTTTGGACTAGAGACCAAAACAACGATTTTCGGCATGCCAAACCCCAACCTGCATGTTAATCTAGGGGAAATCATAGCTTTTTTGTCTCGTTAATGATTTCCAATGCTATTTAAACCCCGCACAAGTATTGTTAGGCCTTATTCTGAGCATCACAAGCCTCCGATCTCAGCAGCTCAATTAGAGAATTGTCTGGGGGAGGTAAGAGAACACACCCATATGTGGAACAGGAACACACAAAGCCCTCACCTGTCTTCCCTGCCTCCTCCAATTCAACAGGCTTTATTGCAAGTTCCATCCACCCAACGTGACAAACTTGCAATTTGTTTTACAATCATCTAATAGTTAATTCCTAAAACACCCATCGAGGCACTATAGAGCTCATTTATGCAACACAGGACCCAAAGAACATAATTACAATGAACAATACCACAGTCACCTGTATTCATTCAGCACCTTCTCCCAGGTACATGTAACATTATCTCATTAATTCCAGACATCCCAGTCCGGGTGGTGGAGGCAGCTCTGCAATATGTCTGGTGCTGGCTCCTCACCCAAGAAACAGGGAGAGGAGAGTAGTCAGTGAGGCAAACAAATATGCAAAATTCTAATGAAGATTTCTGTTTCCTGAACTAGTAGCCAACTGAATTATTCTGTTTCATCAAGTCCTAATTTAACAAGTATTCCCTAAGCATCTTTCTGCTCTTGGGAAGGCCCAAGTGAGGCACTGGGATGGACACAGCTATGCCAGCTGTACCAGCTTCACAGTAGAGATAAACCATGTTCATGAATATCAACGGTAAAACAGGATGAACCACATAAGTAAATGACCCATGCCAGATAGAGAAACTGGGAAAAGTAGACTTAAAAAAAAAAAAAAAAAAAGGAGACAAAGAGTTCAGACCCATGGAGACTGTCTGGCAGTCAGTCCATGAAGAAGATGCAGCATTTAGGGGGAAAAGGAGCAGGGAAGCGCCAGGCACACTGCAGTCTACTGCTGGCACTCCAGGACACATTCTGTGATATTAGGATTGTTCCAGGTGCTGGGGGGACATGATGGTGAACAAGATAAAACCTGTCTTCAAAGACTTGACATTCTGAGGTGAGGGATATGGAGAAAAAGCAAAATAAAATAAAATACTTTTAAGGACTGCCAAGCATGAGGAAGAGAGAAAAAAAGGTGTGGAAAATGGGGGATGGGTACTGGAGACAGGCTGGCAGGGAGGGTCTCTTGGGGGAGGTGACACTGAATCGGGAACCGGGTGGTGGAGGGGAAATACAGGAAGAACCTGGGCAGAGGAGACAGCATTGCAAAGGGATGTGAACATGGATATTCAAGGTAAAGAGAAGCTGGTAAGGCTGCAACAAAGGGAAGGAGAGTGGCAAAGCACAAGTGGTCAGGGAGGAAGGCCCATGCTCAAAGATTAAACAAAAATATGAGCACAATCAAGGAGAGAAATAGAATATGTGAAGAATAAGCCGGGACCGGTTTGGCTCAGTGGATAGAGTGTGGGCCTGCGAACTGAAAGGTCCTGGGTTTGATTCCAGACAAGGGCATGTACCTTGGTTGCGGGCACATCCCCTGTGGGGAGTGTGCAAGAGGCGGCTGGTCGGGGTTTCTCTCTCATCAACGTTTCTAACTCTCTGTCCCTCTCAATTCCTCTCTGTGTAATATCAATAAAATATATTAAAAAAAAAAAGAATATGTGAAGAATAAAATAGAACCCTAGAGCTGAAAACACATTATCTGAGGTATCCTGTTAGTGCAGTAGGTAGCGGCACATCCGTCTCACAAAAATACAATGCTGAAGAAAGCCCAAGGACAGAGTCTGGATTCAATTCTATTGCTGATGGGAAAAACCATCAGAGAATAGGACTGGGGCAAGACGAGTGACTGGGGCATGAGAAAGAAATACTGCAATTCTTTGAACCACAAAAAAATTGTTGGTTTTCTAGTTGTAAAGTTTTTAAGAGTTTTAAGCTTAAAGATAAGTTATATAATTTTCTTTTAAAAAGTTAAGTGTTCCAAAATAGCTGCCCATTCTGTGACAGCAGATGGCTATCAGTCATATGTTCTCCGACAACATTAAAACAACAACAATAAACCAACATAAACCATGTCTTTGAAATCCATGTGATGTTTTAATACTTAGTGGGAAAATTATAACTTCTTGAAAGAGATTCATCTATAGTAAGAACATTCTAAAAGTGGACATTTGGAAAATTTCCCATCATTATATAAACTTTTGTGCAAAGACAACATCCTCTTGAAAAATGTCTCAATGTGCCCTAACTGGTTTGGCTCAGTGGATACAGCATCAGCCTGTGGACTCAAGGGTCCCAGGTTCGATCTGGTCAAGGGCATGTACCTTGGTTGCGGGCACATTCCCAGTGGGGGGTGTGCAGGAGTCAGCTAATCGATGTTTCTCTCTCATACATGTTTCT